AGAGTTTCTGGACTATTGGGTTTCCAAAATATTAAAATGGGACGTGCTGTTTCTTTTATTGCAGAGAAAAATAAACATATATGAGCTTTTGATCACAAATTAGATAAGTCCAGGTGGCTACTTAAACTCTGCATTATGCATGAGGTGCGAGGTATTTCAGACTGGCCACACATGTCAGGTAGTAACACGATACATGGCAGTCTGACAGGGGTTCTTACTTACTTACTTACTTATATTGGAGATTTAACGTGCGCTTTCCGACTGCAAGCGTATGTCGCACACGGGCCCGGCCAGGCCATTTAATGTGTTTCCAAAATGGGGAAAAGTGAGTTTGTGCAACCCAGGAGGGGGGCTTTAGGGGTTGTATATATAGTAATTTTGAAATTTTGAGATTTGGAAAGAATGCCCAGAGTGGGTGGGGGACGAACTAAGGGAGCTGTGTGTGTTGGGTGGTTGTTAGATAAGGTAGTTTTGGTTTTAATATTATGTTTGGGGTTTAAATGCGACTAATTAGTCCTGTTTTAATTAGGTATATGCCTAAGGCTTTGAATTTTTCTAAATTATTTTGTGGATTTAGGATTGATTCTAGTGTAAGTCCCGTTTTAAGATTTAGGGTGGTCTGTAGTGTTGTTCGGTGTGTTTGGTAGTGTGTGCAGTGAATGAGTACGTGTTCTGGTGTTTCTTGTTGTTTGCAATGCGGGCAGTTTCCTGTTGTGTGTAGATTAGCTATTTTACGGTGATTATTTAGTTTGGTGTGGCCTGTTTGTAGTTCAGTAATTATTCTGTCAATTTCTTTGGATGGGTGTAGTATACGTATTTTTGGTTTATTTAGGGTTTTTTTTAGTACTTTCCTGATTTGGCTATTTGAGTTTTGGTATATATTTTGCCATTTTTTGTTGATTTTTTGTTTAGTGACACTTTTGATTTCTGATTTTGAGCTTGGTAAGTTTAAGCTTATTTCTGGGAGTTTAAGGGATAATGTTGCTGCTTTATCTGCCTTTTCATTTCCAAAGATTCCTACGTGGGCGGGGATCCAAATGAACTCTATTTGTTTACCTGCCTTAGTTAAGTTGTTTGAGCTATTGAGTATTTGATTTATTAGTTTGGGGTGGTTTTCAGTGTTTTTATTTTTGAGGGCTTGTAGTCCACTGAGGGAGTCGGTTAGGCTGAGGATTTTGTGGTGTTTTTTAGATTGCTGATTGTGTAGTGCTGAGGCCATGCCCATTAGTTCGGCCGTGAATATGGATTTGTTGTTTGGGAGTCGGTAAGATTGTGTGTTTTTGGTTGGTTGTGCGATGTGGACTCCGAAACCTGTGTTTTGAGATCGGATCTGAGGATCCGTCTGTGTATATGTGACACCAATTTGGCCAATTTTCATGTATGAATGCTAGTGTGGTGGTTTTAGCGATGTTAGGATCGGTCTGTTTATTTAGTGTTTCGGCTAGTGTTGTGTCTATTTTTGGTAGTTTAAGTTTTTGAGTGAAGATATTGTATGATTTATTGTTTTGTTTAAGATTATTTATTTTGTGTTCATTTAGGTAATTGGTTATTCTTTGGGAAATTGGAGTAAGTAGTGGATGTTTCCGGGCTAGGGCTTGGTTTCTAGGGCTAATATTGTTTTTTATTAAGTTTTCGATTAGAGGGTTTGATTGGGACGCGGCCCAGAAGTTTAGGGTAAGTTGTTCCCTACGTAGTTTAAGTGGTATTTCTCCTGTTAAGGCCTGGAGTGAGGTGGAGGAGGTGCCATGTTGAGTTCGTGTGATTAGTTTTAGGGCCTGATACTGGATTGAGTCTAGTTTTTTAATGAGAAAGTTGTTTAAGGTGTCGTAAATGGCACTGCCACAGTCTAGTTTGGATCTAATTAGTGATATATAGAGTGAGAGGAGGGTGTTTTAGAGGCCCCCCCAGTTGGAGCCGGTTAGGCATCTTAACGTGTTTAGGTCTTTGCTGGATCTGGTTACTAGGTTTTTAATGTGAGCATCCCAGGTGAGATGTTCATCGAAGATTAATCCTAAGAATTTGGTTTGTTTTTGGAATTTGATTGGTTTGTTGTTTAGTTGGAGGTTTAGGGAGAAGAATTGCATATTTTTGTGTTTAAATACTATTCCTGTGGTTTTTTCTGAGTTTAGGGAGAAGCCCCATTTGTCAGCCCATTTTTGTATTTTATTTAGAGATTTTTGTAGTAAGTTTTGAGCCATTTTAATGCTTTTAGTGCGGATCCAGAGGGCTCCATCATCCGCGAATTTTGATGTGTTTACTTTAGGGGATAGTCCCTCGAATAGATCGTTAATCATAATATTGAAGAGTGCTGGGCTTAGGATGCTGCCCTGGGGAGTGCCATTTTCTAGGGGACATTGGTCCGATAGCGTTTGGTCTATGCCCACGGTGATTTTGCGGTTTGTTAGGAAACTTTTGATGTAGTTAATTATTTGACCTTTAAGACCTATTTTTGTAGTTTTTGTATTAGCCCGTTATGCCAAACCATGTCGAATGCTTTGGAGAAGTCTAGAAAGATGCCTGTAGTATATTGTTTGTTAAGTTGGCCTGTTTTAATGTCCTGCTCTAGTCGGGCGAGGTTATCTAAGGTTGAGCGTCCAGGTGTGAAACCGCTTTGGTCTGGATTTATTAATATGTTGTTTTGTTCTAAATAGTGTTGTAACCTGTTTTTTGCCATTGATTCCATTACTTTGCATAAGTTAGAAGTTAGGGAGATTGGTCTGTATGAATTAGCCTGGTCAGCTGGTTTATTGGGTTTGGGGATTGGTATGACCAGGGCTTGTAGGTGTTCACCCAGAGACCATATTATATGGTCTCTGGGTTCACCTGAGGGATAATTATAGTAATCTTTCTGTTATTGGGGACTTGACTCTCGGACAGCGGCCGGGCAGGTTGGTTGTCTATCCGATCCAAGATGCCGCCTGGTTATTGCTGTACTACTGTGTGGTGATATATTAAGATCATAGAAGAAAGTGTTTGTGGACCAAATGCTGGACTCCTGTGTTTTAAGGACAGATCTCCCAGCAAAAATGTATTTTGTTTCAGGCTGACAGTGTCAAACAAGCTGCAATGGCGACCGATACTGGCAACAGGTTTCCCTCTCCTCATGAACACATGTTTAATGTTAATGAATAATGTAAAGCTATTTAGTGGCAATGGAATACATCGCCTGCATTACACATCGGCTATATGACTCATATACTTGCGGATGACTCAGATGTGCAATGATTTACATTGAGAGATGCACTTCCATTCACACTTTGCTATCTTATAATGCATCTATAACACGGCTAATTACCGTTTGCACGTTTCCCATGCCTTGGTTACGGTTGACCACGTGAGAATAATTTACGGCATTATACCATCATAACTTTATGTAGTTACCGTCTTTACTGTATGACGGTAAAGGATTACAGTGTAGAACAAGAGAGATATTTACCTGTTTGTCACAAAATGACATGGGTCAAATCTTGTTATCAAAACGCTAAATATACTCCCAGGTTTGACGTCTGCCATTGTGTCGGATATTGTTCAAATGTGCCTGTGTGAGCCTTGCAGTAGCGTGTGATTCCTCATCTAAACATTTGAACTTAAGGTCTGACACCCTATTATAAAAAAGGAAGTCAGTATACTGCGTCTGAATGGAGTATTCATGTTAAACTGCGGCATGGTATCTCAGTGAGCTAGCACTAAAAAATGGCATCAGTCCGGACTAGTAAAAGCAGCCACACACACACACAAACACAAACACACACGAACACACACACACGCGCGCTTGCACATCGCTAAATAAGTGCAATAATCATTGACGCGACGTTAAACCCCCTTTCACCTCACCTCACCATTCCGTCGCAGGCCGTATTGCGCAATGCGCTGAACCGGTTCCTTGAAACCATACGTATACATGTCCTGGATGCCAAATCGCGGTAAAATTCAACATGGCAGTACACGCTGTATATTTTCAGCTCGGTATGTCTTTACCATAAATGGCTCGGAACTGTCACACTGTTGTATGAGATGGACCCCAGAGTGTTATTTCAAAAACGAGCAAACACAGTGACGTACATACATTACTCCAGCATGCACTCGTCTTCAGGCGAACCAGAACTACAACATAAACCGGTTTCGGGTTGAGGATTATGGACTCGTCCGCCAGAAGCGTAACTGGGGTACATATGCCAGTATGTCGTATCCGTGGCGACAAAGACCCACGAGTTTACATTCATACTTCTTGCAGATGTCGGACTCGGTGAAATAAACCTCAGGCCAGCACATACTTGGCATACCTTCAAGAATAACCTGTATTTCTACATATGGACAATATTTTTCACAAAAGAACTCATGTGTTACGTATACTAATTGTGTGCACATTTGGGACGCAGTCGTCTGAAGCGTCAAAGTTCGATGTGACTTTTATCCCTTAGGCGTGCCAGAATCCCATACTATGAAAGTTCGAATCCCATATTCGTCCTGGTCTTTGTTTTGTCAGCACCATACCCAAGATCGTGGGTTTCACCCTAATGGTAAATGTCGGTAAGATCTGCATCAGCCTGGATTCGAATAGGGACTGGTCGGCTCGGAGTCTGCATACTGTTTCTGAGAGGGGTGTCCATGTCAAACTGTTGCATGGTAACTCGTTGGGCTTAGCACTGTCAAACCGACAAAGTCCGTACAAGTACAAGCAGTCACACACACACGAACGCACACACGCACGCGCGGCGCTGTATAAGTGCAATATTCTTGAACGCGACTTTAAACCCCATTTCACCTCACCTCTCCTCCAATGAGTGAATGAATGAGTATGGTTTTACGCCCCTTTTAGCAATATTCCAGCAATATCACGGCGGGGGACACCAGAAATGGGCTTCACACATTTTTCCATGTCGGGAATCGAACCCGGGTCTTCGGCGTGACGAGCGAACGCTTTAACCAAAGGGCTACCCGACCGCCTCTCTTCTCCAATGAAGCGACACATAAAGCTGCTTGAATTGAGAGTAGTGAGCATTGAATCCCAACACTCGAACAACGTCGACGGGGTGAATCACTTATCAGCCCACTGTGTTATTTCACCACAGCCTGCAACTCCAGGTCAACCTTGACCTTTGACCTAAAACCTGTCTGTATCAGCGGTTACAAGTTGTGCTGCAGCAGCCTCCACTCCTCGTCATGCAGAACAATCTCATCTTCTTCGTTAATGGTGTGAAGGTAGGTGACAATCTTGCTCGATTTGTCATTTCAACAACTGTGTAACCCTATCACTGCAGAAGAGCTCTGCATTAATTGTTGACCCGGGCCTCGTGGGGAGCTCCCTGTGGAAATCCTAAACAGCCCACTGAGATCAAATTTGGATTCAGGTGTTATTACTTTGCAGTTATAAATACCGAATGAAATGCCCTTTGATGCTACACGACATGTCGGAATAAACAAGTACAACAGACGAGATATTGATCACATGGTTGAAAACCAGATACTATTCGTTGAAGACGAATTCGGAATATAAAACGAATCACGACTGAATTAAAACATCACAGACAAAGATGTGTAATATTTTCAATAATTTTCAACTATTTCGTAAACGTCTTTTTATATTAAATATTTGTGTATTCATAGAATATAGGTCAGTGAGGAAGACTATAGACCCAACTTGACCCGTCCAGGGAGTATATGTAAACAAGCTCGGTATTAAGAATTGTGAAACTCGGTCAGTCAACAAGTAGCTGTAGCAATTGTAGGGATTCTCGTGTGACCCTTTGCGTAGGTGAAGAATATGATTCAGCGTTAGCATGTGACACTAGTTAAAGAGTTATAACCTTCAACGGTATCCCTCTTGATCGGTGTACTTTTTAAAACCGTCAAATGTTAATATGAATTATTTTGCAACAGATTGTACACATTCCGGATGCGATCAGTACACAAGACTTATCTAAGTGTGGAAAAGCCAAAATAACCTATAACAAAGAAATAGAACGGTATTTCTCTATCCTTCTCTAGCACACAGTTCAATTGGTACATGCTGAGTCACTTGGCTGTGCAGATGAAAATAGCAGATACACTGGATAACTTTGGAGCACGTAGCTATTTAGCCCTGACATAGTAAACAAAGTAAAAGCTTAATTCTGAGTCACGGTCCGGCGTCCGGTCGACAGTGGATAATCATGTAGCACATATCTGTCGTCGGGGCCCATTAAAAGACAGGGTGGTCACAATCACTGACCCGCAGGACCCACTTGCACAAAGCGATCTTAGCGCTAAGATGATCGTTGCTCCCATGCTTTAGGCTTACAATAGTCGTAGCGCTAAGATCACTTTGTTCAAGTGGGCCCAGCTGGCCGATTCCTGGTCCAGGCTGCCATAATATATCTCAAGTTGTCTTCTCAATGGATTTGAATTTAAATCTTCTCCAAAACTACTGCACATATCAAAATCATAATTAAATATTAATAAATAAGTAAAGTAAATTGTTGTGTGTTGGCAGATTTGATTTGAGTTGATTTAATACAGATTTATTAATTATAATATTGCCCGTTAATACATTCCGAACTCATTTGAATTGATCAGGATGCAGTAGGTATAATGAAATACACCGTCAATCATTATATACTACTCAAAAGAAGTTAAGGAACCTCTGATTCTTTCTCATTGCCATAGTTAATCTGTCATAGCATGACAGATTAACTACAGTAATATAAAATAATCTGGTGTTCTTTAACTTCTTTTGAGTAGTATATATGAAGTCAGCAAGACTATAGCAAGTCCGCAATACCACTCTATACATTCCAGGTGACAGAGTCATGCCCCGACCCCCGGGCCAACCTCCTCAACTACCTCAGACGGACACGTATCCTTCCTCATACATCCGTTGGGGTAAGGTGTTTACGCGAGACAAGGTCAGCTTTGTCTATGCTAACGTACGTGTAGTTCGACATGAAACTTTTGATAGTTTTAAATTTGGGAATGTTAAAGATCGTAAATTCCTTGACGTTAGGCAGTGCGTCTGACAGGTTCCAAGGAAGGATGCGGAGAAGGACGGTGTGGAGCTTGTACCGTCATGCTGTCCCGTTATGATAGCGACGAGAAAACTATCAGGTGAGAACACTGCAGATGAGTTGAGGTTTTATCACAAAAATAATTGGATCAAGGTTCATTGGAATAATCTTGCGAATCTCCCGAAATAATCTCCCGTACATTTCACTGACAAGCAATCTAACGACACCCATATCTTGTCATTTTGTTATTCTGTTATTAACCAATATGATGCTCTGCACCTCTTGTTATTCTGCACACAACAAATATAACGATATGCACCTGTTTCTATTCCACAGACACACAGTATAATATTTGCCTCTTGTGTTGTTCTGCAGAGACATAATCTAAAGCTATTTCTTGTTATTCTGCAGACACACGCTTTTATACTGTGACTCTCTTGTTATTCTGCAGACACACACTCTATTGTCATTCGTCCCTTGACTGGTAGTAGTCTTTATTCAAATGTATTGAGCATGTCTAAATTGCTTTTGTGTTAACATACTGATATATATTTCCAGGCCAAACGTTTGCTTATACAACGAATAGTTATATGATTTTGAGCTCTCCGAAAGAGATGCATGCCAGTCTTGTTCATATGATTTTAATCTACTCTTCGTCACACATTTGTGCTCCCACACAAGGCCAAAACCTGTTAGCTGAATAATACTTCTATCTATTTAATCCCAATTAATTTTACCATTTTGGAGTGCCTGAAGTTGCATGTTATAACATTTTTTGACATATCGTGAGTAATATATATTACACCAGTACTTAACAGCTCTTTTGTATGCATAAACATACAGCGAATAACGTCCACATTCACCTCTCACAACATGATTTGATGTTGTGTTTCGAACTCCTGAAACTCGTTTACAAGCAATCATATGTACGCTCTCACTTTCGTTACAAATGTCAGGACTCCAGCCCCATATTTCTGACCTTTAAAATATTATAGGAGTGATTCTGGTATCAAATATTTTAAACAAAATATCAAAGGATAACGGCTTCAGTTTTGCTAAAGATTTACGTACTCCATATAACACTTTCTTTGCTTGTAGCGCTGCATCATTTACATGTTTACGCCATGATAAAGACCTGGTAAATGTTAAGCCAAAATATTTATAGTAGTTTTAACAATCGAGCTTGACTGCATCAAAAAATTATTTATCATGCCTTGATAAGATACCACCTCTTTTAAAAACAACAACCTTGGTTTTTTCTAAATTTACATAAAAATGACATTCATCGCCAAACAATTTTATTGTATTAATACGTTGCTAAAGTCCATACACACCATCAGAAACCAAAATGATATCATCAGCAAATAATAACAAAAAAGTTGAACAAGATCGGGATGTAGTTGTATTCAATGCGAACATGATAATTCTATATCTCTCGTTCAACATAGAAAACATCAGTGGGCTTAATACACAACCTTGTCTTAAACGAAAAGTACAATTAAATTCCTCCGAAAAGATATTGGATCTGACACTGGCCTTGACACGTTCATAGATATATTGCAAAGTCTTCACAAATTGAGGAGAGACTCCATACTGCAATACGATTCCCCATAATTTAGATCTATTTACAAGATCAAAAGCTTCCTTAAGTCTACAAATAGTGCCAAAATCTTGCCATGCTTTTTTGATAAGTAACGTTGAATAACTGCTTGTAGTATGTATATATTGTCTGTTGTACTATACCCCTTACGAAAACCTGCTTGTGATTCAACTATCTTGCCATAGGCACTGGCCCAATATGATAATCTATCTTTTAATACTACTGTTTAAAGTTTACTGAATGCACTTAATAGAGTTATTCCTCTGTAATTATTGGGAGAGGATACACCCTTTTTATACAAAGGGATTATTACACCTAAACACCATCCCTTGGAAATTTACCAGTATCAAAAATAATATTAAACACAAGTTCAATATAAGGGAACAGAATATCTTGAGCAGCTACAAAACTATGGGATCATATTATCCAATCCAGCAGATTTTGAACATTTAAGTTCTGAGATTGCTTTATATATTTCTTCTTGTGAAATGGGCGAGTCCTAGATAGAGGTAGATATATCATCAGGTACATGAACAGCTTCATATACATTATTATCTTAATCATCATCAACCATATGTTGCTGATCAGAAATATCAAACACATTTTTAAAGTACTCGTACAAAGTGCCAATACGTATAGGCGATTTATGTTGTGTTGTTGATTAACAGTGTTTCAACGTCCTCCAAAAGGACCTGACATCGTTGAGATAAGTTAACCATTTGTTTTTTTATCATTTCTACATACACGATTTTCCCTTCCAGTGTACATATTGCGGGCTGCAATGAAGTTCTGTAGATCTTTATCAGCCTTAAAATGTCTCAATGTCTTTAAAAGTCTTTCTCTCTCCATCCTATAAAACGCACATTCCTTATCATACCATGGCTGGGAAACGTTTTGTGTGTGTATATATTTTCATATGTCTGCTGACATACAAATTGCGGACTTCGCTGCTTATAGCGGAGTCAATATCATTCAATGCTTCATCACAGCATCCCTTGTTATTTTGCAGACACTTATTCTTCAGACACACAATCTAATGCTATGCCTCTCTCGTTATTCTGCAGGCACACAATCTAAGGGTATGTCCTATTGTTATTCTGGAGACACACTATCTAATGCCATGTCTCTCTCGTTATTCTGCAGACACACAATCTAACGGTATGACCTGTTGTTATTCTGCAGACACACAATCTAACGGTATGACCTGTTGTTATTCTGGAGACAAAATACAATATGAAGCTATGCCTTTCTTGTTATTCCGCAGACACATGGCCGTGAACGCCTGTCTACTGCCGCTGTGTTCCCTGCACAACATGGCGGTCACCACTGTGGAGGGGGTTGGCGACACGAGGCGGGGACTGCACAAGATCCAGGTAGGTGATGGATGATATAATTCATAAAACAAGAACAGTTAGTATAAACCACTTGTAAAGTAACCATTCCCGAGTTTCACTTCTAAGCCTCCCTGCATTCCAGGAGTGTCTCGCCGAGGCTCACGGGGTTCAGTGTGGATTCTGTACATCTGGCATGGTGATGTCCATGTACACACTGTTGAGGAACATCCCTCGGCCCTCCCAGGAGGACATCCAGTTGGCCATAGAAGGTATGTGGCATCCTGATCCTAAAAGAATAGTTTTCAATAGTCAATATAAGCAGGGTGGGGATTATCCTTCACAGGTCATACAGTAGGCCATAGTAGGTTTGTTGTTGTTCTCTTGGTCTCCGGAGCAATGTGATCTCCATGAATATTCCAGAGGCGCCATTGTTAATCCAGACTGACTGGATGGTCTTCAATAGTCCAGCGAGGTAAGGAACATACTTCACATGAAATTCAGTAGACCAGATAACGTTTAACCATATAGAAGGCATGTGACAGCCATGACTCTAGCATGATGCCATTCAGTCAAAGGCCACAGAAGGCATATGACAGCCATGACTCTAGCAAGATGTCATTCAGTAAAAGGCCACAGAAGGTATATGCCAGCCCTTATTCTGCCAACACGCTATTGACACATGTGACGTATACCATCCCTACTTCACGGGACATTCAATTTGGGATACTGTGTACCTCATTCAGCAATCACCTGAAGACATTTGGTTGGCCATTGAAAGTGAAGAACATCATCGTTACAAGTGAACAGTAGTTTTGTCATAGAAGACAAGGAATTCATCAACCTCCATTGGAGGACATTAATTGATTATTCAAACACCATTCAACTTTTACAGGAAAAAACCGTTTACTTGGTCATTGAAAGTAATGCCACTCTAAAAGATTAAAATCCATATAAATACTTAAAAAACCCGTGATATTTGAACGTTTTCTGTGTCAAACTTCCGTCATAAAATTTGGATGTCTGATATCTTAAAATGGATGTCATTCATGTTAATATATTAATTTCTATCAAGTCGAAGTTACACATGAGAAGTTTCTAAATCTACATATACCTCTTATCGGATGATAGAGCTAATTCAGCTTACACCGGTGGACTAAAGTGAGATAAATTCATGTTTGTTAGGATGAATTACACTTATGAGTTCCTCAATACTACAGAATTTAAGTTTGCATAATGTTATTGACCCATATTTCCCCACTTTAACCTAGGCAATCTCTGTCGATGTACTGGGTATAGAGCCATCATAGACGGATTTACAAAGGCAGCGCAGGTATGTTGATATGTGTTTGTGTTTTTTAATCATAAATTATCACCAGAATATAGTGAGTGACTTGGGTTTGAACGCTGCTGTGAACAGTCTTTAAGTTATTTCACCCCGTTCCAGATTAGCGTGTGAGACGTTTACCGTAGAACACTGGTATTGTGCCGAAAAAGGTTTAGGGCGAATCTGGGATTCATAGGATTCGTGTACATCCAAGGGAAACAACCCTGCACATCGAATAGAGGCGCCTTCGATGAATGGGCCCCCCATGTCTCCTCGTATAACTTGAAATACAGGGCACAAACCTATGCTAAACTTTTATGAAAATACTATGTCCTGTAATTCTAATGCTAAATGAAATACAGTGTACTTTTTGTTGTTCCTACAGAACACGTGTTGCCAAGGCGACAGTTCAACGTGTATATGTAGGTCAGAAGACGCAGAGGAACAACAGCCGAACAGAGTAAGGAAGAATACATCAAAACCTACAGTGTAAATTAGAAATGTGTACATGAATTAATGAAAAGATAACATAGAATATCCATGTGACTGAGGGACGTACATAGAATATCCCTGAGACAGAGGGAGGGTCTTTATAAGATATCCCTGGGAACGAGGGACTTCTAAAGAATATCCCAGGGACAGAGGGACTTTTATGGAATATACCTGAGAACGAGGGACTTCTATAGAATATACCTGGAACAGAGGGACTTTTATGGAATATCCCTGAGAACGAGGGACTTCTATAGAATATACCTGGAACAGAGGGACTTTTATGGAATATACCTGAGAACGAGGGACTTCTATAGAATATACCTGGGACAGAGGGACTTTTATGGAATATCCCTGAGAACGAGGGACTTCTATAGAATATACCTGGAACAGAGGGACTTCTATAGAATATCCCTGGGACAGAGGGACTTCTATAGAATATCCCTGTGACTGAGGGACTTTCAGGGATTATCCCTGGGAACGAGGGACTTCTATCAAATATACCTGGAACAGAGGGACTGCTATATAATATCCCTGGGACAAGGGACTTCTATGGAATATCATTGGGACCGACGGGCTTTTATTTAGAAAATCCCTGGGACAGAGAGACTTCTATAGAATATCCATGGAACCAAAGGACTTTTATGGAATATCCCTGCATCAGAGGAACTCCCATATATAATATCATTGAGGCAGAGGGACTTCTATAGAATATCTATGTGACAGAGGGATATTCTGTAGAAATATTTCCCGAGAGGGTATTCTACGAAAAGAATGCTCATTTTTAAACAATAGTATGACGTCACTAGAGTTTTATAAGCACGATATGTAATCGGATAATAAACCTACCTTTTCCAATAGATGTGTAGGAATTTATGCTTGGTTCTGAAGTTGGAAGAATGAACTACGTCGTTATAGACCATACCTGTATGTGGTTGTTAAACTGTATGTTTTTTCAGTGCAAGGATGAAGGATGCAGGTTTTCCCCTCCATCTCCCTCCCAGGATGTCATCTTTCCTCCGCAGCTCCTGGTCGGTAATCATTACAGCTGTAGCACGTGAAGTGTACTTGTGTCGTGGCATCTTGTCCGCCGTATGTCCCTGCATCCACCCGTAAAGCTCTCCGTCGTAAACATTTTCTGAAACAACATGAGAAATTTGAATGACCACTGTAATTGTCCTCTAAATATTGTTCAAATAATTCTGATGCGATTTTATATATGGCCACCCGAGAAGCCAAATTGTAACAATCGATGACAAGCTATATCATAATGAAATTTGATATGCAACTTTATCAAGGCCCTTGGTCGTCCTATTGCACGCTTTACATATATATACATGTACCGACATTGTATTAACTTCTTAAACCTCTGGCATTATGAAACTGCAATTTTCTGTATATTGTCCCAACAAGGGCGTCACTGAAAAGAGTTTTACGAATTCCGACCTAAATTCCCAAAAAGCTATTTTCAAATGTCATTTTTGCTCTGTTCAGCCAATTACTATTGTGTCAGTAGATTTAGTGTACATGTTGATTTAATGCCTGAAACCTAGTTTTGCATGTTCTTAATTTCCATTATATCATGGCCTTCATAATCAAATGTAGCAAATATTCCAGCCTATTCAGGTGAGCTACAGAGCAAAACTACTTGTAACACAGAACTCTTAATGGGGAAAACGACAAGTCGACTAGAATAAGTCATATTACGGAATGTCATATGTTGTGCATAGTTACGTCCCTTAACCGCACCAGGATACACTGGTCATTCGGCCCGAATATTATTCCTAATGTTCACGTCCTGCGTGACGTTGGGATTTTATCCCATACTGACCTAGCATGCACCGACATTGACATTAGATTCATATTTCTCACTCACATCAACATTAAGATCATTTATATAATTTTGTATATTGATTTTTAAAGCATTATCGTTTTATAACATCACTACAGGTGAAAGAAGAAAAGGAGCTGACAGTGACATTCGAGCACGAGGGTGTCACGTGGATCCGACCTCGTGACCTGCCTCATCTGCTTCAGCTTCTTGCTGATAATCCCACATCAAGACTGATCTCTGGGGGCACAACTATATGTAAGTTTAATATAAGGTCCGACCCGTGAAGAACCGGGTTAGAATAGGTCTTCAGCAACCGTAAACGTTGCCGTAAAAGGTGACTGTGCTTGTCGTAAGAGGCGACTAACGTGATCGGGTGGTCAGGCTCGCTGACTTGATTGATACATGTCATCCAAATTGCGTGGATCGATTCTCATGATGTCAATCACTGGATTAGCTTGTCCAACCTCGATTATTAACCCGAAGTTAATAAGCTCCATATGCCAAGTTTGCAAATCAAGAGTCCATTATATCATTGGGAAATCTATTCATTCAGAGCCTGTTTCATTCCTCAGTTCTCGACTTGAAGCTGAAACACAAGCTGCCCCAGACCCTGTTGTCCACCAGTCACATCCCCGAGTTGACCAGACTGACGGTGGAGGATGACCATCTGGTCGTGGGGGGCGGCATCACATTGGAGGAACTCAGGACCAGACTTCCGGGACTCGTCTCGCACCTGCCAGGTGAGGCAACTCTCCCTCGGAGGTATTCAAGCATCTGCCAGGTGACGTAACTCTCAACCGGAGATATTCACGCACTTGCCAGGTGAGGTTACTCTCACTCGGAGGTATTCACGCACCTGCTGTCTCCAGACAGCTGCATCGTGATGTAAATCTGTGTCGGATGTATTTAGCTGCCAGGTGAGGTAAATCTCACTTGGAGGTCTTCAGACAGTTGCCAGGTCAGATAAATCTCACTCGGAGGTATTTAGCTGCCAGGTGATGTAAATCTCACTTGGATATCTTCAGACAGTTGCCAGGTCAGGCATATCTCACTCGGAGGTATTTAGCTGCCAGGTGAGGTAACTTACTCTCACGCATGTTATTCATTTACCAGTCGGTTGAGATGAAAGTAAGGTCAACAAGGAAACATTCTCTTATTAGTGCGATAATACCGGGTAGTTATAGTACTGTTAATGATATAGAAAGACCAATTGACCCCTGCTAATGTCAGGTTGTTATAGTAGTGTTAATGATATAGAAAGATCCATTTACCCGTGATATAATGTCAGGTTGTTATAGTAGTGTTAATGGTATAGACAGGAGGCCATCATATAGGAGGTCATGTCAACAGGGAGTATATAGGAGGCCATGTCACTATTTGTAATTTAATAGTAGGTCTTGTCACCAGGTACAGATTAGGAGGCCTTTTCACCAGGGATCATATAGGAGGTCACATCATTAGGGGCTACAAAGGTTTTATAGAGGAGGCCATTTATCTAAAGACCAGCAGCTGTTACATCGTTACTACGCGTGTCTTGCAGGCTGGAAGACCCGGTCTGTGAGGGTTCTGGGGGATGCTCTCCGCTGGGTGGCCGCAGGACAAGTCAGAAACGTGGCGGTGGGTAGTCACTGCCTTATTTGTCAACAAAAAAGTCGGAAAAATACCACACTTTGCCTGTTTGTTTTTTCTTTATGTTTCATAACAAAGATACCAATTACGTAGTTCATGTGCTTTAAAATTAGAAACCTGATAGCTCGAGATACAAAGTTTCCCCTTACTTGGGATGTTAATAGGAAATTATAAGTAGAAGAATTATCATTTGTCTGTGTTGGTTAGTAATGAAACTACTTTATACGTCAACTGTCGCTGCAAAGTGTTGGATGTAATCTTCTCATCCCGGCTAGTTTGGGATCTTCAACCACCAGCTTGGGTTGTATACACTCCAGGGAATTCAGAATGATAACTAGAATGCAAACGGATCATCTGGTCGGGGAACAAATAAAACCTCATTTGAACAGACACTAGTACCTGGACACCTGCGGCATAAACATGTATGATATAATAATATGTCAACTATCGCTGCAGAGTGTTGGGGGCAATCTTCTAAACTCGGCCACAGTTTCGGATCTTCAACCGGTCTTCCTGGCAATGGACGCCATGCTGCACGTCAACAACGCCGGTAAGTTCAACTTCTTGGTACATTACACACGCATCTACACAACTCTGGTTTACTTTATTTGCACGTTCCCGTGTGTGAATGTCAGCCTCGAATAATACTGCCTTGGGCGAAGGTGGCTATAGTGTGATTTAGCACTTCAGCGTTCTATGTGCTATTGGATTAATCTGTTGTCATCCAAAGCTATGCTATAACATTCTTCGGGGCGGTCGGGTAGCCTAGTGGTTAAAGCGTTCGTTCGTCACGCCGAAGACCCGGGTTCGATTCCCGACATTGGTACAATGTGTGAGCCCATTTCTGGTGTCCCCCGCCGTGATATTGCTGGAATATTGCTAAAAGCGGCGCAAAACCATACTCACTCACTATAACATTCTTCAACAAGCAGAGGTTGGGTTTATTTTGTGTCCAATGTAAAATGCATTTATGTTTAGATGAGATTGCATGGAATGACAACTGTATCTTCTTTCCCAGTCAAAGGTGAACGCACTCTCCCTTACCGTGAGGTGATGAAGTTTACGCCGCCTTTAAATGGCCTTGACCCCACTGACGTCCTCGTCTATGTCACCTTGCCCTTCACAAAACAGGTGCGTGTTCATGTAGTGATGATGGTTTTGCTTACATATTATCGCTCGCCACGGAGTGGGGCGGGGGATGTAGGAAATGAGACCGTCCGTCCGCTTCTCAAAGAGGTCAATTTTCTCAAAAACTATTAAATTAGTAGAAATGACATTTAAACGCACTGATATTACTGGCCATGATCTTAAATGAGTTCGAAAATTGATGTCCTAACTTCATTTATGGTCTTTGCTCCCTGCTTTTCAACTAAGTGCACATTGTCTGAAATGGGACAGGTTTTCACAGAAAATCCTTAAATTACATGAATGAAAGTTTACGTTCTTATATAAGAGATACTTGTCAAGACTGAATTGTTCGAAAATTGGTGTCGTAAGTTACTTTGTATTGTCCTTGCGCCATGCTTCAACTTTGCGCATAGTGTCTGCAATGAGGACAAGTGTCCACAGAAACTTTTGAAGTTAGCTTATCAAAGAGATACTGATCAAGAGTGAGTTCGAGAATTGGTGCCATAAATTATGTTTTCCAGAGAAGGGACATGAAACGACCCTAGTGCCTATATATTAGCAAGGATTTATGGAACTTTTTTAGTGTTTCCATTCACTACTTTATTTACAAACAATATTGTGCTCCATGGCGGGGGGGGGGGGGGGGGGGGGGGGGGGGGGGAAGTGATAACGCTGTTACGTTTAGCATAATCGCGGGTCGTCCTAATTTGATGATGTTTGTGATGACAGGGTGACCACGTGATGTTCTACAAGCAGCAAGTACGGCAAGGGTTTGACACGTCATATGTTAATGCCGTTGCGGGGATATCATTTCAACCAGGAAGTGATGTGATTGACGATATATATTTCACTTTTGGTGGGCATTGTTTCAAGCCGGTTATGAAAATTCAGGATCTTCAGCAGGAAATGGCAGGGAAGTGAGTATAAGAAGTGATGTCATTATAAAGCCCCAGCGATCCTTCTCATAGAGATCTACAGTGGACCAGCATGAACATGCGGTTGTAGGGACTATGAGGAGATATTTGTAACTGAAGTCTCTAAGTGTTGGAACGGATCTTTGGTCTATAACTGGAACGTCACTGAACTTTTGCCATTTATCTGACTATATTGATGTAAAGAATATCTGCCTCCTATTGATATTTTCCTGCGACGTACATGTTATGTAACTTAGGTGATGAATGTTTCTGACGTCGATGATAAATGAATGTTTCTGACGTCGATGATAAATGTTTCTGACGTCGATGATAAATGTTTCTTACTTCACTGATAAATGTAACTGACGTCATTGATAAACATATCTGACGTCGATGATTGTGTCCATATCTGACGGGAATATATAAAATCCACCTGGCATCTGACATCAGTATTATTTTCATGTTGCTAATCTGACTTGCGCGTCTGTCTTTATCAGGAGTTGGTCCCTATCGCTGGTGCCAACCGTTCTTACCTCCCTTGGCAAACTCCTCGACAACAAGACGGCCATCACTGCCGACGCCAAGCATGTCGCTGTGGCCCAAGTTTTCAAATTCATGTTTGCTGTAGAAGAGGCCGTCAGTGGAAAGGTAGTCTAAAAGTGACATGAGTGAGAGTGAGTGAATTAATGCATTTGTCAGCACAATTGACCAGGCAAAGCAGTGTCTGAAAACCTGAACAATTACTCTTGACAATGAGGCAGCAACATGACAGGCAATCAGATCCTGACCACCACATTCAATTTAGTTGCCTCTCACAACCAGACCGTCTCCGTGGTCTTGTGGATAGTAGAGAGTGGTAGGTCGGTGGTTCCCCGGCTGCGTCATTCTAACCGACGCTTAAAATGATGTGGTACTTGTTGTTACCCTGCCTGTCGTTCGGTATTAAGGGAACTCTGAGTGGGGTGTCCATGTTACTCTGCGGCATGGTATCTCAGTGGACAAGCACTATAAAACCATAAAACAAGTACAAACACACACACACACACACACACACACACACACACACACACACACACACACACACATACATGCACGTCGTCATATTAGTGCAATAATCTTGAATCCGACGTTAAACCCCCTTTCATGTCACCTCCACGACCAGTAATGGTGTATGTGTGTCCTATTCGTAAATTAACGTGGGCCTATTGCGTGATGTATCGGGGTCCAACTGAAATATGCTTCTGTTCTGGAACCTCTCTCTTAACGGTACCGAGAGCTATCCCTTCCCAGAGTACCATTTACATGATCATATTGTTTCTTTTCTCTGAAGACTGCCCCCAATGCTCCCTCTGCCCTATCTACTGTCGACTACGAGAGTACCCGAGTGTTTGACAATGTCGGTCCTGATCAGCCACCGGAAGATGACATGCGTCGATCTATCCCACACTCCAGTGCGTTACAGATGACGTGTGGGGAGGCTGTGTACCTGGATGACATGCCGCGATCTGAAGGTAGCTATGGCAACACATTTTACGTTCTTGATCTTAATTTCACAAAGCGATCGCGGTTCTACGCTTGCTAAGTGAAACGGGCCAGATACAGAATAATGCATATGTCGAACCATGAAGCCATATCATTTGATGATGCGCGAGGTGTGCTGAGTTGCGTCCCTTGGGTACGCCAGAAACCTATGTTCATGGGTTCGAACCCCGATTCCCCTTCACTATGTTTCTGTGTTTGTCAGTACCATGCCAGTGTTCTTGGGTTTCACCAAAGTGGTAAACGTCACTCATTCTAATGTATGGTACAAATGTGTGCATACCTTGTAGGTGAATTGTATGCTGGACTTGTGCTGAGCACGCGACCACACGCTCGAATCGTAGAAGTGGACGTAACAGAAGCTATTGCGTTACCAGGGGTAACAGGATATGTGGATCACCAGGATGTGCCAGGGAACAACATTTGGGGCTGTGCTATTCAGGGCGAACACGTATTTGCTGAAACAGAGGTTAGTTACGAAAAGTTATCTTAAGTGTTATCATTAATTCACAACTGACTATGATTATTCATTTATGAGGATGGTACAGTTCCTAGGCAATTGTCATTATTGACAAATACAAATAAGATTTTCACCACATTCATTTCTATAGAGTAGAGGAAGACAGTGGTCAAGGTCAAATAAAACGTCGGTTAGTAAGGCATGTGCAACTCACCCACTCCCTCGGATGATAATATCAATACTCAAATGGACCCTTATTCAGGAATAGAATGTAGATATATTATTTGTTATGGTGTTTTTAGTTGCCGTATACGGTGTCATATTAGCTGACGCCTCGCCCAATATTTTTCTGCTAACCGCATACGACAACTAAAGACACCATTACGAATTTATTATGCCGAAAAGTTTACATCTGGTATCCATATCGCACATGTCATGTTAAAATGAAAACTTGACACTTACAACAGTTGACGTTAAGGGTCAAAGGGAGACTACTCTTTAAACCTTAGAGGCAAAACCTTGCTAATTACAAGTATAATCTTTATCAATAAAGTCACGAACGTGATCTAGAAAAAATGATAATGTCCTTGCACATCAGAATAAATGATATTAAAACACAAACAGTGTCGAATAACGAACTTCTATTCCAGAATTTTCATGTGAAATATGTGAGGTGGGTATTAGAAAATCCAAAATGGCTGTTACTGATATTAGTCTCGGTCTCATATTAGGTCAGAAACAACCATCTTGGATTTTTACTGACGGTATACGGGATCATATGGGGTTAGTTGTTCTGCTCTCTGATTGGTCAATCTCACTTTGAGGCATAAAAAAATACATTTAGTGTCCTGAAGTGGAATAATGATGCATATCATTCGTAGAGATGTCTTCATTAATATCATTTGAGTAATTTTTCAGGTCAGGTGTTGTGGCCAGGTTATCGGCCTTGTGCTTGCTGAAGATCGCCAGGTGGCGCTGGAAGCAGCCAGACATGTGACAGTGACATACGAGGATCTACCTGCCGTTCTTACTTTTGAGGTACTACGTCTGTGCCGTGGTGCACAGCAATTGGTTTTGGGTGTCTTAAGGAGAACTGTGCTTCGTGGTAGAGAACCCAATTCCAGTGTCGATATGAACGTTGTTATTGGTTCCCTGTGTGACATTGAGACAAGGGGATCATTAACTGTTTGAGTGAAAGGCATGGTATAATGAGTAAGAAGTAAAACAAAACGGTATCAGGCCTACTTGATTCCAACAGCTAGGACTGCCAATTTTCTCGAACGAACTCCGCCGTTAATCATCCCGTTGTAAGGTGAGGTGAAATGGCTTATGGACCCACATACAGAATTACTGGTCGTGGAGGTGACATGAAAGGGGGATGAACGTCGGATTCAAGATTGTTGCACTAATATGACTATAACTCTGTGTGTGTGTGTGTGTGTGTGTGTGTGTGTGTGTGTGTGTGTTTTGGTGTGAATTTATATCAGCATTTTTTAAATGTTTCGGAACTCAGTTGTGTTTTCCAAAATACTCTAAATATTGGTCCAATATCTTCCATAGATAGAGAGAAAAAATCTGATGTAATTAGAAACTAAATATAAGTGGAATTAAAATATGCAAAATATTTCCCTTATCTACAGTATATCGACAAGAAATCTAACAGTAGACGTTTACGTGTGAGACTGAACACTGACAGCTACATAGCAGGCTAAAGTGACGTAAGATAAACGTACCCATCAAACCCATCGCGCTCGGTGAATTCTGTTATCCATAGCCATACAAGTTATAAACTGTTATATTTTATCATGCCAGCCCACTGAGATACCATGCCGCAGTTCAACATGACACAGATTCAGACACAGTATACTGACTCCGAGCCGAATAGTCCCTGTTTAAACCCCTTAATGCCGAGCGCCACCAGGGTAACAACAAGTAGTACCTTAAACCGTTTGGTATGACTCGGCCGGAGATCGAACCCCCGACCTTGGTACTGTTGTACGAACAGCCCGTTGACGACAGAACTATTGCACTCTGAAGATTAACTTGCTTGACTTAAAACGTCGAAGGTGGACTCGACCGTATTAATTTTCAATATTGTTAAACTCTTGGTACATCGATATCTGTAAGTTACATGTTCTGCAATCATTCTTCCAAGTACTTTAACACATATCAAGCCATCATCTGTCTCCTAACAACACCTGGTATTCCAGGACGCCATTCGGGAGAAGGCGTTCTACACTGAGGAACCAGCCACGCCAGCCATCGTCTTCGGTGACGTTGACGCCGGGTTCGCTGCATCTGATGTGTTCATTGAGGGTCACCTTGACATCGACCCCCGTGAACACTTCTACATGGAGAGTCATGGTGTTCTGGTCAAGCCAAGAGCAGAACATAGCGAGGTGGACGTCTACTGCACGTCACAAAACCCTTCCATGGCACAGGTATAGTATATTTGTGTCTTCTTTGATTATTGTGTTTCATTACATTGTCTATGTGGACCAACGTTGTTTGTGTCAAGTATGTGTCCACAGAGCAATATGTAATTGTTTGTTTGATTGTTTGTTGTTTAACGCCGCCGCACACAGCAGTATCCAAGCGACGTGGCGGCGGTCTGTAAATAACCAAGTCTGGACCAGAACGCCAGTGATTGACATCATGAACATCGATCTACGCAATTGGGATACGATGACATGGATCAACAACTCTGCGACCCTGACCACCCGATCCCGCTATCTTCTTGATCTTCACTTGTCATAATATTGTACTGTTATGGCATTCAGATATAAGACTCAGCTATACTAGCCGGCAGACCTGAGTTGTATGAATAATATCCAAATCTGTGGTCGTATTTATTGTGCCAAGTTTGGGTTGTATACTCCCCATGGAGCTGAGAATGCAAAATGTTTCTTCGCTGATCCATTGACTTAGGTAATACTCATACTGAGACTCCTGTGTAGAGTGTGTGCTGTATAAAAGTACATATTATTGTTGTTGCTGTTAAATATCAGTGTATAGTTTTGGCATCTTAAGTTAAATATTATTGATCATAGCACATGTATCAGTTATTGTAACCGTTATTGATACATATTTCAATCCTAATTATCAATTTTACAGAAAAGTGTAGCTCAGGTACTGGGTATTCCCCTCAGCCGCGTGGTGTGTCATGTCAAGCGATTGGGTAAGTTTTTGTTTTATACAAATCTGTATAGGTCACACAGACATTTGATACATCCAGCGAAGGTCAAACATTTTGATTCGTCATACATTCCAATTGATTGACGTTACGTACAGATGTTAGTACCTTTATCAAGCATTTGATTGACGTTACGTACATATGCTAGTACCTTTATCAAGCATTTGCGAGTCTAGGCAATTTAAATACATAGTGTTTATTCCTAAAACAGGATATTTACAATCTCAAGACTCTGATAACCTATTCATCATATACTGTCATTCGTAAATTCTTTTGTCGACAAACCTTTACTCATCTCTCTCAAACGGTGCCTAAGCATTCTAACTTTTCCATCTCAGTGATTTGTCAGTCGGAAAACCTATTTGCTTACTACATATACATATAGTCCAAAAGACAATTGCCTACACATATTATTTTCACTTGCCGTTCATGGTACTCCATCGATTGATCAAGCAGGGGCTACTCAAGTCTGTAAGACGTCACGTTTGTTTGCCTGGTCTGTCATAGTGTTACGGAATTCAGTCAGATGTCAATACAGTGACGCAAGGAATTTCGGTCAAATACAACAGTTTAAAATTCGGATAAACGGCCGCACTCGCATCGGTCAAAAAGTACATATATGGAAACTGATCCCTCTCGGATAGTGTCCTCGCTAAATAGTTTCGCAATATATATCGCAAAAGTTGCCAAAACTTATAACATGCCTCAACCACGTCCCTGTTAGACACTTATTTTCGGTATCCTAAACTCTTATTTTGATGCTGATAACAATTATCCCAGAATTTTGTCAAGATCGCCTCTAGTCTCTGTCTCTATCCCCGATAGATAAGTTTGTAAACGCTGAAGGTACGCTGACCTTATATACTTGCATATGTATCTGTATATGGTCCCATTGGATACGGTGTTAATCCGATGGCTTTATCCTGCCGAGAAACCTAGCCATAGTATGAGAAATATAGATTATTAGCTGAGTGTGTTACCGTATCATAAATATATACCAGGAATAAAATTTGTATTATGCAAGCCTAGGCGAGCATAACAAATATTCGTTATTCCTAAGGTATGATATTTTAGGATATGGAAACACACCAGGGTAATGACCTCTTTAATATTGTCATTCTTACAATAATCGATGTTACAGATGACAGTTTCACTCAGTGAAGACGCTTCAAAAAGGCGTGTGAATATGTTTGAGTGTTCTGCCCACTGTTTAATATAATGGCAATGAACCAGCAACCATGTAGTCGTGTTTATTTTTTTATGTACAAATTATCACCCTGTATGTTTGGGAATAATTCGGACTATTCAGTGTGTGTCCTTTTATGGACTCTGAATTAACTCATCATGTACCGACATGTACTGAAAACTTCTGTATCTTGTTGTGATCAATCTTAATGCATGTCGATGTTTATGCAGCGGGGATAAGTTGATGCGTATTGCTGTTTCTGCAGCAGGGATTAGTTGATGCGTATTACTGTTTCTGCAGCGGGGACTAGTTGATGCGTATTGCTGTTTCTGCATCAGGGTTTAGTTGATGCGTATTTGTGTTTCTGCAGCGGGGATTAGTTTATGCGTATTACTGTTTCTGCAGCGGGGATTAGTTGATGCGTATTGCTGTTTCTGCAGCGGGGGTTAGTTGATGCGTATGGGTGTTTCTGCAACGGGGGTTAGTTAATGCGTATTTGTGTTTCTGCAGCGAGGATTAGTTGAAGCGTATTGGTGTTTCTGCAGCGGGGGTAAGTTGATGCGTATTGGTGTTTCTGGAGCGGGGATTAGTAGATGCTTATTGGTGTTTCTGCAGCAGGGGTTAGTTGATGCTTATTTGTGTTTCTGCAGCGGGGATAAGTTGAAGCGTACTGGTGTTTCTGCATGAGGGGTAAGTTGATGCGTATTGGTGTTTCTGCAGCGGGGATTAGTTGATGCTTATTGGTGTTTCTGCAGCGGGGATTAGTTGATGCTTATTGGTGTTTCTGGAGCAGGAATAAGTTGATGCTTATTGGTGTTTCTGCAGCAGGGGTTAGTTAAAGCGTATTGCTGTTTCTGCAGCGAGGGTTAGTTGATGCGTATTTGTGTTTCTTCAGCAGGGATTAGTTGATGCGTATTACTGTTTCTGCAACGGGGATTAGTTGATGCGTATTGCTGTTTCTGCAGCGGGGGTAAGTTGATGCGTATTGGTGTTTCTGCGGCGGGGGTTAGTTGATGCGTATTTGTGTTTCTGCAGCGGGGATTAGTTGATGCTTATTGGTGTTTCTGCAGCAGGAATTAGTTGATGCTTATTGGTGTTTCTGCAGCAGGGGTTAGTTAATGCGTATTGCTGTTTCTGCAGCGAGGTTTAGTTGATGCGTATTTGTGTTTCTGCAGCAGGGATAAGTTGATGCGTAATACTGTTTCTGCAACGGGGATTAGTTGATGCGTATTGCTGTTTCTGCAGCGGGGGTTAGTTGATGCGTATTGGCGTTTCTGCAGCGGGGGTTAGTTGATGCGTATTTGTGTTTCTGCAGCGGGGGTAAGTTGATGCGTATTGGTGTTTCTGCAGCGGGGATTAGTTGATGCTTATTGGTGTTTCTGCAGCGGGGATTAGTTGATGCTTATTGGTGTTTCTGCAGCAGGAATTAGTTGATGCTTATTGCTGTTTCTGCAGCGAGGGTTAGTTGATGCGTATTTGTGTTTCTGCAGCAGGGATTAGTTGATGCGTATTACTGTTTCTGCAACGGGGATTAGTTGATGCGTATTGCTGTTTCTGCAGCGGGGGTTAATTGAAGCGTATTGGTGTTTCTGCAGCGGGGGTAAGTTGATGCGTATTGGTGTTTCTGCAGCAGGGGTTGGTTGAAGCGTATTGTTGTTCCTGCATGAGGGGTTAGTTGATGCGTATTTGTGTTTCTGCAGCGAGGATTAGTTGAAGCGTATTGGTGTTTCTGCAGCGGGGGTAAGTTGATGCGTATTGGTGTTTCTGCAGCAGGGGTTGGTTGAAGCGTATTGTTGTTCCTGCATCAGGGTTGAGTTGATGCGTATTTGTGTTTCTGCAGCAGGGATTAGTTAAAGCGTTTTGGTGTTTCTGCAGCGGGGGTAAGTTGATGCGTATTGGTGTTTCTGCAGCGGGGATTAGTTGATGCTTATTGGTGTTTCTGCAGCAGGGGTTAGTTGAAGCGTATTGGTGTTTCTGCAGCAGGGGTTAGTTGATACGTATTCGAGTTATTTCAATGGGGATTTAGTAGATATATTGCTGTACCTGCAGGTGGTGGTTTCGGAGGGAAGGAGACGAGGAACGACCTCCTGTCTCAGCCAGTGGCCGTGGCTGCTTACAAGTAAGTTGATGCATGTTAGACACAACCGGAAAATGCAAACTGAATTAAAGAAACGAGTTACCCTGAAACGTTAGGAGTATACCGTCAATTGCTTTTAGCAGCCATATCGCAGGGGCGGTTATCATTGAGCTTCTCATTGAATCCACCTTAAGAATCAAACCCGGGTCTTCGGCGTGACGAGTAAACGCTATAACCACTAGGCTGAACAACAACCGCAGGATCGGAGACAGTTCTGTCATGACGTGGTTGTCACACCGTGTTGTCGTACTTGCAGGTACCGGAGACCGGTGAGGTGTGTGCTGGACAGGAGAACGGACATGGCAATCACGGGAAAGGCGCCCGGGTTTCATGCAGAGTATAAGGTGGAGACTTCAACAGTTCATGTTCTAGGGTTGTGTCACTGGCTGCTTGACTAAACTCCTTAAGATAAAGGTATTTTTTGTTGTTTAACGCCGCACTCAGCAATATGACAGCGGTCTGTAAATAATCGGGCTCGGACAAGAAAATCCAGTGATTGACATCATGAGCATTGATCTACGCTACTGGGATACGATGACATGCATCAACCAAGTCAACGGGCCTAACCACCTGATCCCGTTATTCGCCCCTTACGACAAGCATGGGTTGCTGAGGACCCTCACGAATATTTACATAAAGGTGTGCCAGTGTTTGTCTGAGTTGACGTTTGTGGTAACCAAGACAATTTAAACCAAGCATTAAGCACGTGGACATACGATGTCTTTCTTGTTTTTTATCCCGCCCTAATGTCGTCCCCGATTCAAATTATATATAAGTTTCAATTTATGACAGCATATTTCGAAATGCCATCTGAAGATGCTGTGTAATAAGATTCAAAATCGTACTTCAATCTTCCAATGGTCATTTGTTGTGTGACTTTACGGATCACGTTTGTGGGACAATTGAAAACTACCTGTTATACACAGTCACGTGTGTTTCTTCAGATCGGCTGCACCAAAGACGGCCGGATCCAGAGCGTTGTGATGGACATGTATGTCGACTCTGGCCATGCTTCTGACATCGCCTATGCTGTAAGTATGATATATATTCTAACATACGATGTAAGCTCCTACCCTACCTAATGGCCTCAGTGTTCACCATCGCCATTACACACTCTACAGAAGTTATGATTCATCTGTTCACAGTTCCTGGAGGTATGTGTGCTGAACTTCGAGGCAGCGTACCGCTACCCCAACTGCCGGATAACTGGCTACCTGTGTAAGACGAACACTCCCCCTAATACAGCGTTCAGGGGGTTCGGTATGCCGGACAGCTTCCTGGTGTCGGAGATGATAATGACAGAACTCGCCAGCAGACTCAACATGACTGAAACTCAGGTATGTAACAATAGGCCCCATGTAGGGCTGAGTTGCCTGGATTATAACCACGGCAATCATCTCAGTAAGTAGCTGGCATAATACACCTCTATAGATGTCATTCTGTTATAAATACAGGTTCGACTTTTCTCGCGCAAACCCGTAAAGGAGTTATTCCCTCAGAATGCCCGGGTAAAAGAGCATTCCAGCTTAAGTATGCCCGGATTAGCGGGCATTCCGTGAACGTTTATAAACGTTTTAACGTTTTATAAACTTGCCTCTTGATGTAGACACAATTGTGTTTGATGATTGGTTAAAAGTCAGAAATTTGTTTTAAAATTCCATAACGTGAATCGAACCTGCAAACTCACATATCATGTTAAGTTTTGTAACCCACTGCTTTCCCACTGAGCTACTGGGGCAGGTGATGAGAATTTTTTCAGATTATCATGTCATGAATCCATCTAGCCCAGACTGTGTGTTTTTTTCTCGCACACTTTGAGCGAATTCCTTTTATGCCGTGCTACACTGTATTGTTTTACTGTAAGGCATTTCGTGCACTAAGACGGTTCATAAGAAGGATATAACACACACCCCACACACCCCTCGGTCTTGACGGAGAATGTAAGCCCGGGGAGTCGACCCTCCCCTATTTCTCTCCTCCCCGGGCTTACATTCTCCGTCAAGACCTCGTGGGGGGTTTATATCCAATACTTACACCAATATGTTGACATGCCTAGGATAGGATTCTCTTTGACAAACACTAATTTGTTACAGAAAGGGTGTTTTAGTATATATTGATGTGATATCTAAAAAGAGAATACGCTCCCGCACCCGCACCCGCACCCGCACCCGCATCCGCACCCGCACCCGCACCCGCACCCGCACCCGCACCCGCACCCGCACCCGCACCGCACCGCACCCGCACCCTGTATTCCCGTGCCCAAGCAGCCCTCATCCCATCATCACACTATATACTGGCTTATGTAGTATGCCCTTCAACAGGTGCGTGAGTTAAACATGTTGAGAGAGGGAGACGTGACGGTGTCGGATATGTTGCTGGACAACTGCACGCTGTCCCAGTGTTGGCGTCAGTGTCTGGAGGAAAGTCAGTATGAAGTCCGGAAAACAAAGGTGCAGGAGTTTAACAGGTGAGTCAGGTGCAGGGATTTAATAGGTGAGTAAGGTGAAGGGGCTTTACATGTGATTCAGGTGCAGGGGTTTAACATGTGTACCAGGTGAGTCAGATGGATGGGGTTAATAGGTGGTTCTGGTGCAGGAGTGTAACAGGTTTGTCAGGTGCAGGAGTGTAACAGGTGACTCAGAAGGATAAAGTTAACAGGCAAGTCAGATGGATGGGGTTAATAGGTGGTTCTGGTGCAGGGGTGTAGCAGGTGTGTCGGGTGCAGGAGTGCAACAGGTGTATCAGATGGATAAAGTTAACTGGTGGTTCAGGTGCACGAGTTTAAAAGGTGAGTCAGGTGAAAGAGTTTACCAAGTGCAGGATGTGACACCCATAGAATCAGCTGGGCATTGTTTGTTATCAAGCATTCTGGCCGTGACGATCAGACTAGATACTCTTTCCTTATGAAGAACAACAAATGATTCATTCAGGAGTTTTTTCCCAATAGTATACACATGCCAATGACTTTGCAATACACGTATATTCTCTAGGCTTGTAAGATTATTTGAACCTTGGTGTTTGCATATTACAGACACAGTCGTTGGACGAAACGTGGCTTTGCGATGGTTCCCTATCGTTTTGGTGTCGGCTACAGAGAGAGATTTATGTGTAAGGTACGTCGACAATTTAGTTCTATTGAAGAAATTCGAGACAGTAGGGCCACTCCAACAAAACAATTAAGGTTCATACCGTTCTGGTTAGATGTCCTTTATATTATCAACCCGTTTATAGAATCTTCTTCCTGATATCAGAAGATACGGGAACGTATCTACACCGGAGCGTGTGTGTGTTTCAGGCAGGTGCACTGGTGCACGTGTACGTGGACGGCTCGGTGCTGTTGACCCAAGGGGGAACGGAGATGGGCCAGGGACTCTACATCAAGATGATACAGGTGGGACTAAAACCATGACTATTCTGATATCCGCAAACACCTACAGCAATTGTTGATAGTTTGTCTACCAAAATACCCATATGTATGCTGTGTTCAAGTGTAATGTGTCAATCGTCACGTTAATACCGTGGTCCGATCATAAACCAGGTGGCGTCCCATACCCTTGGGGTACCAGCCAGCACCATCCACATCAGCGAGACCAGCACCAACACTGTTCCCAACACATCGTCGACGGCGGCCAGTATCAGCACAGATCTGAACGGCATGGCGGTCAAGGTCAGCGTCTCATGGCTCTTTTATGGTTACTGAAAATGTCCTTAATTGTTTCGAAATTCAGTGCAAATCTCAACGGCGTGGCGGTCAAGGTCAGCGTCTCATGGTTCTTGTATGGTTTCTGAAAATGTCCTAAATTGTTTCTAAACTCAGTACAAATCTCAACGGCGTGGCGGTCAAGGTCAGCGTCACATGGTTCTTGTATGGTTTCTGAAAATGTCCTAAATTGTTTCTAAATTCAGTGCAAATCTCATCATGCATTTCATAGCTCCTGTATGGGTCCCCCCCCCCCCCCCCCCCGCACGTGCGTCCGTTCTGCTATCAGTGCGTTACAATGAAAGCTCCAAGCAGATTGTTACATGCACCACATTGAACCTGGTCAAATACTAATCTCAGGCGGAGTACGTCTCGGAATCATGCATTACTATTTCCTCTTGCCCCCTGTTATTGTGTCAAACGTGGCCGATTCCAGAAACTCGTTTGATATATCCGACCCACTGCAATATTGAGTGATACGTGGTGGCACAGCGCACGTCCCAAATCAGTTAGCACCGCAGGTCGCGGATAGCAGTTGGATGGGTGAGACTTTCCACGGCTTCGGCCCTGCCCAACACTGAACCATATGCAGCACACGTGGCGTCTCCTTCGGCAAGTGACTCTGTGAACCCAGCATTGAATGGGCACCCGGTAGGATTATATGGCAGTGTGGCTGTTAACCTTCTAGGGCCTCACAGGCAAGCTTGGGCTGTATACTCACCAGGGAGCCGAGAATGAAAATCGAGTGTCCACTGATCCATTGACCGGTGTATGAGCTATGAGCATCCGCTTAGTGAATGTAATTTGGCGCATTATCAATTCAAATATTTTTATTTTATTTAAATTAACAAAAATGACCTATACCTTGGTTAACTAGTTGACACGTCCCATGCGCTCTATCACTGGTTGTTGCAGGCAGCATGCCAGGAGATAGTACGGCGCCTGGAACCCATCAAGAAGAACAACCCCGACAAGACCTGGAAAGACTGGGTAGGTCGCCAAACCTTAAATATTTGGGCCTCGTGTCTGGGGTTAATTGGACGATTTTGAGTTCCGCCTACTACTCGGGTTTCATGCCCCTCATGGTTACATATCGTTCTTGGAGTCCATGCCGTGATACAGCTGGACTATTGCTGAAATCGGCATGACAATATTCCACCCGTTCCCGTGTTAACTGCTTCAGGGCCTTTTTTACGGTTGTCTTGACCAGGGCCAAATTCAGCGGTTCTTTGATTTTATTGTGAGGGCCAACCCTAGGTTGGCAGCTCTGGTCCGACAATACATATTGTCCAGAGTCGATCAATTCGGTTGCCGTCTTCAGCTGAACGCGAAGGGTTACCTAGGTTCTCGATGCGACCTCATGACTTGTGTGCTTTAGATGGCCATGAGGAGCCAGGTGCTCGATGACCGACGTTGTGAGGTTAAACGCCCTTTAGCCCTTCTAGTTTAACAATTTGAGTCAAGATGTTTGTTATACATTCATGTAGGTGCGAAATAATCAGCACAGTGGCTTCCAATGAGCATGTGCTTCAGAAAAAAAATCTTCATAGTTGGGGAAAACATAACTATATTAGTGAATGAGTACTGTCTCAATATCCTGCTTTCAGAAACTAAACATCAGTCTGTCCTCGTGTCTGTCTTGCAGGTGACGGAGGCATTCATGACCAATGTCAATCTATCGGCAGTCGGATACTACAGGTACGAGCGTCTGTTCTTCAGGTATTCCCTGAAAATCCTGGTCAGAATAGGTCTCACGACGCCACACCATCCCCCTCTTCTCACTCTCACCCCCATTGCTACACACGAATACAGATTTCCTGCTCCAAACAAATACTAGCAACAGATCACCGTGGTATAGCTAAAATATTACCCTTCGCTAACAGTTGTATTAGGTAGTATCTTCCAGTTCTATCCTTGTAATTTACCTTAATGATGGATGTTCATTTCAGTAATGTTTCACATTATCAGCGAAAGTGCTTCTAGAACAAAGATTGATTGTACATTACTTACATAGTATAGATATTCTAGATACAATTATCTTGTAATGTCGTGATTGTTAGTTCACGTGAACAAGGCGGCTACGAGTTCACAACCGGCAAGGGCCAGCCGTCCGAGTATACGACATATGGAGTTGGGTGCTCCGAGATAGAAGTGGACTGTCTCACGGGAGAATGTCAGGTATGTCCGCTTGCAGGGGAGGTTCAGGTATGTCCGCTTGCTGGGAAGCGTCCGGTATGTCGGCTTGCAGGGGAGGGTCAGGTATGTCGGCTTGCAGGGAAGCGTCCGGTATGTACGCTTGCAGGGAAGCGTCCGGTATGTCGGCTTGCAGGGAAGGGTCAGGTATGTCCGCTTGCAGGGAAGGGTCAGGTATGTACGCTTGCAGGGAAGGGTCAGGTATGTACGCTTGCAGGGAAGGGTCAGGTATGTACGCTTGCAGGGAAGGGTCAGGTATGTACGCTCGCAGGGAAGGGTCATGTATGTACGCTTGCAGGGAAGGGTCAGGTATGTACGCTTGCAAGGAAGGGTCATGTATGTCCGCTTGCAGGGAAGGGTCAGGTATGTCCGCTTGCAGGGAAGGGTCATGTATGTACGCTTGCAGGGAAGGTTCATGTATGTCCGCTTGCAGGAAAGGGTCAGGTATGTACTCTTGCAGGGGAGGGGCAGGTATGTACGCTTGCAGGGAAGGGTCAGGTATGTACGCTTGCAGGGAAGGGTCATGTATGTCCGCTTCCAGGGAAGGGTCATGTATGTCCGCTTGCAGGGAAGGGTCAGGTATGTACGCTTGCAGGGAAGGGTCAGGTATGTACGCTTGCAGGGAAGGGTCAGGTATGTCCGCTTGCAGGGAAGGGTCAGGTATGTCCGCTTGCAGGGGAGGGTCAGGTATGTCCGCTTGCAGGGGAGGGTCAGGTATGTACGCTTGCAGGGGAGGGTCAGGTATGTCCGCTTGCAGGGGAGGGTGAGTCAGGTATGTACGCTTGCAGGGGAGGGTCATGTATGTACGCTTGCAGGGAAGGGTCAGGTATGTCCGCTTGCAGGGGAGGGAGGGTCAGGTATGTACGCTTGCAGGGGAGGGTCATGTATGTACGCTTGCAGGGGAGGGTCAGGTATGTCCGCCTGCAGGGAAGGGAGGGTCATGTATGTACGCTTGCAGGGGAGGGTCAGGTATGTCCGCTTGCAGGGGAGGGAGGGTCAGGTATGTCCGCTTGCAGGGGAGGGTCAGGTATGTACGCTTGCAGGGGAGGGTCAGGTATGTCCGCTTGCAGGGGAGGGTCAGGTATGTACGCTTGCAGGGGAGGGTCAGGTATGTCCGCTTGCAGGGGAGGGTCAGGTATGTCCGCTTGCAGGGAAGCGTCCGGTATGTCCGCTTGCAGGGAAGGGTTGGGTATGTACGCTTGCAGGGAAGGGTCATGTATGTCCGCTTGCAGGGAAGCGTCCGGTATGTCCGCTTGCAGGGGGAGGGTCAGGTATGTCCGCTTGCAGGGGAGGGTCATGTATGTCCGCTACCAAGGAAGGGTCATGTATGTCCGCTTGCAGGGGAGGGTCAGGTATGTACGCTTGCAGGGAAGGGTCAGGTATGTCCGCTTGCAGGGAAGCGTCCGGTATGTCCACTTGCAGGGAAGGGTCAGGTATGTCCGCTTGCAGGGGAGGGTCAGGTATGTCCGCTTGCAGGGGAGGGTCATGTATGTCCGCTTGCATGGGAGGGTCATGTATGTCCGCTTGCAGGGGAGCCTCTGCTATGTCTGCTTCTAAGGGAGTGTCAGGTATGTCCGCTTGCAGGGGATCGTCAGGTATGTACGCGCGTAGGAGAGCGTCTGCTATGTCCGCTTGCAGGGGTGAGTGAGGTATGTCCGCTTGCAGGGGAGGGTCAGGCATGTGCGCTTGCAGGTGGAGTTTGAGGTATGTCCGCTTGCTGGGGAGCAACAGATGTGTCCGCTTGCAAGGAAGTGTCATGTATGTACGCGTGTAGGAGAGCGTCCGCTATGTCCGCTTGCAGGTGAGGGTCAGGCATGTGTGCTTGCAGAGGAGCGTCTTCTATGTCCGCTTGCAGGGGAGTGTCATGTATGTACGCGTGCAGGAGAGCGTCTGCTATGTCCGCTTGCAGGGGAGGGTCAGGCATGTGTGCTTGCAGAGGAGCGTCTTAAAGCTGATGCGGCTTATAGCAACATTTACTCATTACTCATTACTCATTACTCTTCATGACCATTATGGCATGACACCATCACAGAAGATGAAGGTTGTATATTTGTGGTGCGTTATTTCATGAACCAGATCCTCCAGACGGACATGGTCATCGATGTGGGCAGGAGCCTCAACCCGGGGATCGACATCGGACAAATAGAGGGCGCTTTCCAACAGGTGAGTTTCAACGAGCATAGCCAAGGGAAAAAAGAACATCGAAAAGAAAACATCGAAATAAAAAACGTCAATGCATGAGAATAACCAATCTTGATTATCCTCTGAAACAGATTCCATATGGACAAAGGGTAAAGCAGCTGTGGAAATGATATTAATGGACCACTGAAAAGCAGAGATGGCACCAGGTGTTCAGAAATGTTTTTAGTAAATATAGTTAATCACCGTATTGAACCTCTAAAGTCTCGCCTGTTGGCATCATCTTCTTGGTTAACAATGTTCGTCAACATAAAAATCACGTGATGTCAAAACGATGTCAAATTCAGATGCCGACAGAAGAAAATATTGAAGTGTTTTCGGATCATCTATCATAATAACTTACTATCCGTTGTAACGGTTTCAGGAAATCTTCATGTTCTATCAGACAGGTACGACCATTCGTCGCCACTATAGATTAGATTAGAGTATTGATGGCTCGGATAGTGCATATAAACTTGTAATTGAAGAGACTGCATTAACTTAACCGGATACCGAAAGGATTGTGTGTGTGTGTGTTTGTGTGCGTGCGTGCGCGTGTGTGTGCGCGCGTTTCTGCGTGTGTGCGTCTGTGTAGTCACAGCTTCAACACGTGCCACTTAGTTTGATTGACTTGGCGAGACAAAATCACATCATATTGTTTGTTCTTCCATCTCACACCTAGTCATCTTTTGCACCCACTTGATATCGGATGTTGTGGGTTTCTTAAGACTACGTGGATTAGAACCTAGCTATAATTAATTTCTCCGAGATACATCAGTAATCATCCCTTGTTCTAGGCTTGTTATAGTGGACACATCAGTAATCTGCCCATGTTCCAGGCTTGTTATGGTGAACAAATCAGTAATCTGCCCATGTTCCAGGTTTGTTGTAGTGGACACATCAGTAATCTGCCCATGTTCCAGGCTTGATATAGTGGACACACCAGTCATCTCCCCGTGTTCCAGGCTTGTAATAGTGGACACATCAGTAATCTGCCCGTGTTCCGGGCTTGATATACTGGACACATCAGTAATCTGCCCATGTTCCAGGCTTGATATAGTGGACACATCAGTAATCTGCCCATGTTCCAGGCTTGATATAGTGGACACATCAGTTATCTGCCTATGTTCCAGGCTTGTTATACTGGACACATCAGTAATCTGCCCAAGTTCCAGGCTTGTTATAGTGGACACATCAGTAATCTGCCCATGTTTCAGGCTTGTAAAAGTGGACACACCGGTCATCTCCCCATGTTCCGGGCTTGTAATAGTGGACACATCAGTAATCTGCCCGTGTTCCAGGCTTACTATACTGGACACATCAGTAATCTGCCCATGTTTCAGGCTTGTTATACTGGACACACCAGTAATCTGCCCATGTTCCAGGCTTACTATAGAAGACACATCAGTAATCTGCCCATGTTCCAGGCTTGAAATAGTGGACACATCAGTAATCTGCCCGTGTTCCAGGCTTGTTATAGTGGACACATCAGTAATCTGCCCGTGTTCCAGGCTTGTTATAGTAGACACATCAGTAATCTGCCCGTGTTCCCGGCTGCTTGTAGTGGACACATCAGTAATCTGCCCATGTTCCAGGCTTGATATAGTGGACACATCAGTAATCTTCCCATGTTCCAGGCTTACGATTGTGGACACACCAGTAATCTGCCCATGTTTCAGGCTTGATATAGTGGACACGCTTGTAATCTGCCCATGTTCCAGGCTTGATATACTGGACAAATCAGTAATCTGCCCGTGTTCCATGCTTGTTATAGTGGACACATCAGTAATCTGCCCATGTTTCAGGCTTGTTATACTGGACACATCAGTAATCTGCCTATGTTCCAGGCTTACTATAGAAGACACATCAGTAATCTGCCCGTGTTCCAGGCTTGTTTTAATAGACACATCAGTAATCTGCCCGTGTTCCAGGCTGCTTGTAGTGGACACATCAGTAATCTGCCCATGTTCCAGGTTGATATAGTGGACACATCAGTAATCTTCACATGTTCCAGGCTTACTATTGTGGACACACCAGTAATCTGCCCATGTTTCAGGCTTGATATAGTGGACACATCAGTAATCTGCCCATGTTCCAGGCTTGATATAGTGGACACATCAGTAATCTGCCCATGTTCCAGGCTTGATATTCTGGACACACCAGTAATCTGCCCATGTTCCAGGCTTGTTATAGTGGACACATAAGTAATCTGCCCATGTTCCAGGCTTGTTATAGTGGACACATCAGTAATCTGCCCGTGTTCCAGGCTTACTATACTGGACAAAGCAGTAATCTGCCCATGTTCCAGGCTTGATATAGTGGACACACCAGTAATCTGCCCATGTTCCAGGCTTGTTATAGTGGACACGCCAGTAATCTGCCCATGTTCCAGGGTTGATATACTGGACACACCAGTAATCTGCCCATGTTTCAGGCTTGTTATACTGGACACACCAGTAATCTGCCAATGTTCCAGGCTTGTTATAGTGGACACATCAGTAATCTGCCCATGTTCCAGGCTTGTTATACTGGACACACCAGTAATCTGCCCATGTTTCAGGCTTGTTATAGTGGACACATCAGTAATCTGCCCATGTTCCAGGCTTGATATAGTGGACACATCAGTAATCTGCCCATGTTCCAGGCTTGATATAGTGGACACATCAGTAATCTTCCCATGTTCCAGGCTTACGATTGTGGACACACCAGTAATCTGCCCATGTTTCAGGCTTGATATAGTGGACACGCCAGTAATCTGCCCATGTTCCAGGCTTGATATACTGGACAAATCAGTAATCTGCCCGTGTTCCATGCTTGTTATAGTGGACACATCAGTAATCTGCCCATGTTTCAGGCTTGTTATACTGGACACACCAGTAATCTGCCTATGTTCCAGGCTTACTATAGAAGACACATCAGTAATCTTCCCATGTTCCAGGCTTGATATAGTGGACACATCAGTAATCTGCCCGTGTTCCAGGCTTGTTATAGTGGACACATCAGTAATCTGCCCGTGTTCCAGGCTTGTTTTAGTAGACACATCAGTAATCTGCCCGTGTTCCAGGCTGCTTGTAGTGGACACATCAGTAATCTGCCCATGTTTCAGGCTTGATATAGTGGACACATCAGTAATCTGCCCATGTTCCAGGCTTGATATAGTGGACACATCAGTAATCTGCCCATGTTCCAGGCTTGATATTCTGGACACACCAATAATCTGCCCATGTTCCAGGCTTGTTATAGTGGACACATAAGTAATCTGCCCATGTTCCAGGCTTGTTATAGTGGACACATCAGTAATCTGCCCGTGTTCCAGGCTTACTATACTGGACAAAGCAGTAATCTGCCCATGTTCCAGGCTTGATATAGTGGACACACCAGTAATCTGCCCATGTTCCAGGCTTGTTATACTGGACACACCAGTAATCTGCCCATGTTTCAGGCTTGTTATAGTGGACACGCCAGTAATCTGCCCATGTTCCAGGCTTGATATACTGGACACACCAGTAATCTGCCCATGTTTCAGGCTTGTTATACTGGACACACCAGTAATCTGCCCATGTTCCAGGCTTGTTATTGTGGACACATCAGTAATCTGCCCGTGTTCCAGGCTTACTATACTGGACACACCAGTGATCTGCCCATGTTCCAGGCTTGTTATACTGGACACACCAGTAATCTGCCCATGTTTCAGGCTTGTTATAGTGGACACGCCAGTAATCTGCCCATGTTCCAGGCTTGTTATAGTGGACACATCAGTAATCTGCCCATGTTCCAGGTTTGTTGTAGTGGTCACGTCAGTAATCTGCCCTTGTTCCAGGCTGCTTGTAGTGGAAACATCAGTAATCTGCCCATGTTCCAGGCTTGATATAGTGGACACATCAGTAATCTGCCCATGTTCCAGGCTTGTTATAGTGGACACATCAGTAATCTGCCCATGTTCCAGGCTTGATATAGTGGACACACCAGTAATCTGCCGATGTTCCGGGCTTGTTATACTGGACACATCAGTAATCTGCCCGTGTTCCAGGCTTACTATACTGGACACACCAGTAATCTGCCCATGTTCCAGGCTTGATATAGTGGACACATCAGTAATCTTCCCATGTTCCAGGCTTACGATTGTGGACACACCAGTAATCTGCCCATGTTTCAGGCTTGATATAGTGGACACGCCAGTAATCTGCCCATGTTCCAGGCTTGATATACTGGACAAATCAGTAATCTGCCCGTGTTCCATGCTTGTTATAGTGGACACATCAGTAATCTGCCCATATTTCAGGCTTGTTCTACTGGACACACCAGTAATCTGCCTATGTTCCAGGCTTACTATAGAAGACACATCAGTAATCTGCCCATGTTCCAGGCTTGAAATAGTGGACACATCAGTAATCTGCCCGTGTTCCAGGCTTGTTATAGTTGACACATCAGTAATCTGCCCGTGTTCCAGGCTTGTTTTAGTAGACACATCAGTAATCTGCCCGTGTTCCAGGCTGCTTGTAGTGGACACATCAGTAATCTGCCCATGTTCCAGGTTGATATAGTGGACACATCAGTAATCTTCACATGTTCCAGGCTTACTATTGTGGACACACCAGTAATCTGCCCATGTTTCAGGCTTGATATAGTGGACACATCAGTAATCTGCCCATGTTCCAGGCTTGATATAGTGGACACATCAGTAATCTGCCCATGTTCCAGGCTTGATATTCTGGACACACCAGTAATCTGCCCATGTTCCAGGCTTGTTATAGTGGACACATAAGTAATCTGCCCATGTTCCAGGCTTGTTATAGTGGACACATCAGTAATCTGCCCGGGTTCCAGGCTTACTATACTGGACAAAGCAGTAATCTGCCCATGTTCCAGGCTTGATATAGTGGACACACCAGTAATCTGCCCATGTTCCAGGCTTGTTATACTGGACACACCAGTAATCTGCCCATGTTTCAGGCTTGTTATAGTGGACACGCCAGTAATCTGCC